TCGGAAGAGGCAGTGTGAGGAATCAGAAGGTGGCCCGCCGTTACAAGACGGCACAGGACTTAGGCTGGCTTTCGACACCTTATTCAAACCCAGGATGAACTCCAAGTACGTTGACGCTCCTTTCTCTTCATCTCTATGATGCTCTCATGAGAGTCACTACTGGATGACAGAGGACGGCGGTTTTGCTTTAGTGATGTGGATGGAAAGGTGAGAAAAATCATGGTGAAAACCTCATACCCTCCTAACGTTGCTCCTGCTCTTCAAAAATTACACTGCGTGTCTTCCAGTGAAGGAAAAAAGAAAAACCATCATGTCATTTATATGCAGAGCTGGAAGCCTGGCAGACAATTGCAACACGTTGTGAACCCACATGTCGCACAAGAGCTCGCCGTGGGTCCTTGCTTGGTTGGCACGTGTGTGGGTGTGCACATGTGTAGGGGGGTGTGTGCGTGTGTGTGTGTGGTTTGTCATTCTTTTTCGTTAAACTTTTCTTTTACTAAACATTAAATTATTTCCCAAGAAATAAAAAGCTATGTACATTGTCATTATCTACAGTAGGTCGTCTGCATCCTTGCTATTAACATGCACAGGGGGGGCAGGGCCTCATTCATAAACCTAGACGTGCGTCCCTCCTGCTCACCGGCTGATGTTGCTTTGTGGGTTTCTTTTTCATAGATTCATAGATGTTAGAGTCGGAAGGGACCTCAATAGATCATCGAGTCCGACCCCCTGCATCAGCAGGCAAGAGTGCTGGGTCTAGATGACCCCAGCTAGATACATATCCAACCTCCTCTTGAAGACCCTCAGGGTAGGGGAGAGCACCACCTCCCTTGGGAGCCCGTTCCAGACCTTGGCCACTCGAACTGTGAAGAAGTTCTTCCTAATGTCCAATCTAAATCTGCTCTCTACTAGCTTGTGGCCATTATTTCTTTTTCTATTTCTTTTTCCCCATCGTTTAAAAGACGGCCGAGGTGAACAGCGGCGGATCTAATCCTGCCCATCCCTGTGAGACGAGAGGGAGGGGGCTCGGAGTGCTGCAGCATCGGATCTGGCATCTCAGCCTGACACTCGTAGGACAAGGCGGCTGCTTCGCCACCGAGTACGGAGCAGGACCGTTTCCCTGTCACTTTGGGTAAGGATTTCCAATCTGCCTAAGAGATTTAGGTGCCTGATTCCCATTCACCTGAATGTGAACCGGGCATTCGAATCCCTTAGCCTTTTATTTTTAACCAGTGGGCATTTCCCCAGCGCTAAGTGTCCCCTTCCGTTTATGAATGTGGCCCTGGTAAACAAAAGACCCGTCCCCCGCCTCCCTCCCAAATAATAATGACATATAATTTTTTTCAATAATAATAATTATAACAATAATAATAATTACAAATAAAAAGTCAGAAATGCTGTAGACCAAGTGGATCCTCAGTATTAAACGCTAGTGCAGTTGGGGATTTCCTTTGTGCTTTCGCTGTTAGCAATTGTCGAGATGCTTCCTGGAGGAGACAAGTGGGGGGGAAAGGGGGTCAGGAAACATGCACACCTCCGCAGTCTGCATGTGCAAGTCCCTGGGAGACAGCTCATGAGGACCTAAAAGTGTGGGACGATAGACTTAATGAAGGGGACCCAGCTGCCTGATACTGCAGTGAATGTGGGGTCCAATTGGGTCGTCCTCCAGGGGTGGGACGTGAAAAAAGAAGTCATAATGTTCGTAAGTCATCACATATTGTAGGGAGATCATGAGCAGATAGAAGGGGGGTCCCCAGTATGGAAACAAAGCTGGAAAACTTTGAAAACACATGCAAAGCCAGACAAGTTTCCTGCTAAGATGCTTTGGATGGAGATGCTTCTCAACCCCAGACATGGCTGTCTTGCCCCTACCACCAGCACCGTACCTAGACTCCTGGTGGCCCCGGATGAACTTTTAGTCTTGGGTCCCCCTTTGCCAGAGATAACGATGGTCATTTTTTTTTCCATTGTCTGATTATTATTTTGAGGCCCTCTTTCTGTCTGGGCCCCAGGCAGCTGCCCGGTTTGCTCATGCCTGTGTCCGGCCCTCCCTACCATGACGTCCAGGTCCTCGGACCCTGGCAATACAGACCGCCAGCCCCTGCGGGGATTCAGCGCGCGCTCCGCGTCAAGCACCGCTTAGGAAGAGGCCCCAGCAGGCTGCATCCCCTTACCTATAACCCGCGTGTCCAGCTCTTTGTCCATTAGCTCTTCGGGGTCAGTGAATTCACCCAGAGTGATTTTGGGGGGGTTTTCGCTTTGGCTGACGGACCCGATCATTTCCTGTTCTTTGTCATGCTGGACCTGAGCATAGAAGTTAATCCACGGGATTTTCCTGCATGGGAGAAGGATACACAAGGCCCTTTTTTAAGCTGTGACCTTTGACCGGAGCTCATTAAGGCAAGACTTAGCTCCCCCCATAGTGCAGTATGCACAGAAGGATGGTTATGGACTATTTTATGCCTAGTGCAGAGCGCTGGGATGCTGTTGCTTCCTATAGGAATGGACTGCACCCAGCACTTGAACCAACGGGTTTCTGAAGCCCAAGTTTGCATGTTCAATGCAAAGCTGGCCATTTTCTCCCCTTCACCAGAGCCTTCAAGGATTCAGCAGCATGTCCTGGGTCCACCACTGCCAATCTTGCGCCCGGCAGGCGGCTGGCACCACACATGCAGCTTAGCCCAGTGAACATGTACGCAACTAATTAGGATCATTTGCAACTGTCAGTTCTGTGCATGTAAATTAGGCAGCTAATGATGCAAGCGGGGGGGGGGGGGGGGGGAGAGGATTAAAAATCTATTTAATGATGCCATTTATTCAGGAAAAAAGCCTGGTCCGGCTCATCCCCATTGCCAAGCTCTGGTGCTCTCACTGGGTGAAAGGGTTCGTAGCCTCCGTCAGGGCTGTTCTCTGCCTCCTGGTTTGTGGCAATGAGCAAAGGAAAGCGATGGTACCCCTTTCCCAAGGGAAGCCGGCGTGCTCGGATTAATGTGGCTTTGGGGACGTCCCCCGCCTGCAGCATGGATGGTGAGAAGGATGATCCCGAGCTGGGATGTAATTTCAGGATGCCATGAGCGGTGTGCGGAAACGCACCAAGGAATTCAGATCTCGGGTGTAAGCAGTGACCTCCTGCAAGGTGGCAGTGAACATCTCTCATTAAGCTGCTGGAAAGGTGCTGTGCCTTGCATTGCTGCAACGGGAAAACTCTTTGGGCTCCATAAGGAAGACAACCAAAGCAGATGTCTTCCTTGTAAAATACTGCCTCTATGCGCTAATCCCTTAGGTGTTGGAAGGGCTCAGAGAGTCAGATCATCGTGCATATATAGCAATTAGCATATATAGCAATATAGCAACTAGCCCAATTGACTCAAAACGGAGCTCTGCTGATCTTAAACCGTGACTTCTGGCCCCGAGTTTTACGCTCATCCTTCGTCATCAACAGGCCAACGCAACGATTCTCTGGCAGCAGCACTTAACAGGTATAACATCCTTTGGTAACTCGCACCTTAAAAGTTCGCCATATCCGAGAAGGAGCTACGCCGTGCTACAACCGGACTCCGCTCTTTGAAATGACGCGACTGCAGATTACGCGCTTGGATCTGCAGAATTAATACAGCTGATTTTCTGATGTCGTTAGGCTTCAGAGGCCTTGTCAAATAAAAATACTGCCTCTGTATGGCAGCAAACACCCAAGCCAACTGGGGGGAAAGGATGGCAATCAAGAAAGGGGACAACTACCCCAGTAAGAGGGTATAAGGACCTGCAGCGATGGGTAGGGAAGGGAGAAGGACACTCAGAGGAGCCCAAGGTTTGAGTACGGATGGGAACAAGCCACACAACAAAGGATCCAGAAGACAATGTTTATGCCTGAAGATCCAGGGAGCCTGGATGTGACCAGCTCAACGGCCTCCGGCTTCTTCTGAGAGCCACGGAGAAAAGAAAGCTGGCCAGATGTGCCCTCTCTGACCCTGCACAGCCATGTGCATTGTCCTCTTTCTCCCCAACACACACGCGCACACACACACACACACACACTCTCCTATCATATGGGAATGATATGATGCTCATATCATTCCCATACCCCCAGCACCTGCAGCGCACCCATTATCCCATTGTATTTCAGCACCTGCAAAAGGTATAAGCAAAAGGTGTCCTTTAATGGGACACACGTGTGCATGTGAGCGCACATGCACATGCTCTCCACCTTTCTCTTTCTCTCTCTGCCTCCACCCTTGCTCTGTCTCTCCTTGCCCAGCCATAGCTCTATGATGGGCACTTTCTGGTTTCTGACCCACCTGCTGAGCCTGTTGCTTTGCAGCCTCTTAATCAGGCATCTGCGGGTGAGCCCGTGGAGTGCCAGTTCTGGAAATTTACTGAATTAAAAACCCAGGCAGCTGCCAGCTCCCCTAAGCTCTCTAAACACCAGCTCAGTATTCAGCCGGGGACTCCAGCTAATCATCAAAGTACACACCGCTAATGGACCTCTGCAGCCCAGGAAGTGAGAGCCCACCGCTTGCTCCATGCCCCCTTCTCCATGCAGAGCTGTCGTGCACATTCATTTCTGATCAAGGCAGGCAGTGAGTTTCTCCGGCGCTCAACCCTTTTTTTTTTTTCCCCACTTTCTGCTGCTCCTCTGGATTTCTGATTTCCTCCTGACCTTAGCACTTGTCGCTGCTGCGTCTTGTTCACAGACAAAGAGTATTCCTAGCACCTGAATTTGTACTTACGGGAGTACACTTCAGTGCACTCCTCCTGAGTGCAACACCCCGCAGCTTTGTACGACAGTCAGGAACAGGGAGTCGAGTCAGCACCGTGACGTCGGCTACTTATCCTGCACTGCAGCCGGGGAGAGTTGGGAGGAAAGGATGAGGTGCCCAGCACCTGGAGGGATTGTGGCTAGGGTCCAAGATGTTACACCTGAACTATAAGGGATGGCTGTCCAAGGAGCTACACGAAGCTCTCCAGCCCCTCTTCCACTTTCAGGGAACTCAAGGTTTGGCCTCTGCTCTTTATCAAGCTGGTTTCCCTTTTACTGAACCCCAGAGAGACCCAGCAATGGGGCAGGGGAAAAAAAATAGGATTGTATACAGCAAAAAAAAAAAATAGCAAGAGAAGCTCAGCCTCTGGATACTGCAAGGAGCCACATCTCAGTGCACCTCCCACGCCTGGCAAAGCAGCTAGTACAACATCCCAGGTGCAGGCCCAGCCAAAAAAGCTGCCGCTGTATTGAAGAGCTGCTTCCAACCCAGCAAAGCAGCAGGGATCTGGCTTCAGGCCCAAGGACGTGACAAGTGGAGGAGGGCTGGAGACCTGAAACTCTGCCTTGGAACAGATTAAATAACACGAGTGCGGAGGGCTTCATCCTGAGCCCCTGAAGTCACCAGGAGCGTTCCTGCACATGGGATAGGAGCAAAGCCTCCCCCTGACTTCGTAAATTAAAAGCTCAGACACGAGTAGAAACTTATTCAAACAGAAATCAGCTGGTGGTGCTGATCCAGAGTTAGGGTCCCTCTGAGCATTCCCCTTCAGCCCCGCCAAGGGTGTCTGTAACCCCAACGCGACTTGATGCGGCACAAATGTACCCAGCACTAAAGAAAAGTCAGAGAAAGACACTTAAAGAAAGGTGAATCTGTCCAAAGAGAGCTCCGACTTGGGAAACAGAGGCTTAAAAATGATTCGTGGCCAGAGGGGAAGGGGATGCGGAAAGCAGATGGCAGACGTGAGTCCCACACAGTTCTTCGCCAGCGAGCAGAACTGGGGACGTCGGCATATTGAACTTAGCCAGTGCCTCACTGGATGCTAGGAAGAGCCTAAAAAAAATTAAAGCTCTATCTAGTTAAGGACAGTTCCCCTTCAGCACGTGATCTACTCGCCAGATCGATTCTTGTCTGATAACTCGAGGCAGCAGAGTGCAGCTCGTGCCTATTGCTGCTGGGGAGCAGCTTCTGCATGTAAAAGTCGCATCAAAGCGCCTTCTTGCTTAGTTTAACACCACCGATTCCTGCTCCTGGTGCCTCCTGCTCCCATCCCACGCCCCCACCGAGACCTCGCTGCTCCTGTAAACTCCCCGCTAAGCTGCGGGAGGCGGATATGGATCCCACAGTTTCTATGGAGACATAACGATCTGAGGGCTGAGCGGGTTCAGGGTTTTTTTTTAACAAACCCCCCTCAACTAATGGGGGGTGAGGAGGGTTAGTGCAGGGCTCTGGTTCAAACTCTCCTCTGGTGCTGATGCAACTTGTTTCTCGGGGCCGCAGAAGCACGTCAAGGTGGAAAGAAAATCATCTGATGCTTTGGCAGCTCGGCAAATCTGGCCGGGAAGCCCCCGAGCACCAAGCAACCGGTGTGTGCAGCTTCATATACTGCGTGCAGGGGGACTCTGCATGGGAGGGGTGAGGCGGCCTTCGCCTGCATGGGAGGGGTGGACCATCACATCGGCGGCTCTGCCGAGCGCTGAGCGGAGATGAAAATACAGTCTCTGGGGACCGTGCAGCAGTGGGAAATGCACGGATTTGGCAGGGACTGCCTGCATTATTGAGTCCGGCTCCCTGTAACCAGGGGCAACCAGGCAATAAACGTTTCGTCCAAAAGCATCCACAGGAACGGATGCTCCCATCCTTCCTGCAGGCCGCAGGGCAACCCCTCCAGACCCCGCTTCTGATCCAGTCCCTATCAGATACAGCTAGGCCCTCAACAAACCAAATACGCTCCCCACTGGTGCAAATCGGGTGGGAAATCCTCGTGCTAATATCCTCCTTTTACCTGGCTTTCCACCCATTGAAAGGATGACCCGAAGCAACTCTGAATCTGGCCCAAAAGGCTTCAAGGTGATTTTTTTTTTCCCCTCCCCTTCCTCACCCCATGATGCAAGTCATCCCCCAGAAACACCGGGTCACAGGGGGGCTGCGCTGCAAATGCTCCCTGCGTGGGGAATCGGGAGTGACACTGGAAATGTGACGGCTTAGTCGGTCCAGTGCAGGCCACTGGCCACCAGTACATGGTTTCCAGCATGGAGGTGGGTTTTGCAATTGAGAGCTCATCACCCTCAGCTGGTGCTGAGCTGCGACGCCATCAGCAAGCGCAATCTCCCTGCTGCTCCAACCCGATGAAGCTCCTCTGAAGACCGCTTTGCCCCCCGCTGATGTTTTGGCCCCCCATTCCCTAATGCACGTCCACAACCAGCTCCCCGCCAACTGTAAGCGCTGTATTTTGGGCCTGGCTCTGCGAGGCCTTCTGGGCAACAGCTGGCGTTCACCAACACGTCCTCGACATACCTTTTAAATTTGTAGATTAAAAAAACAGCCAGGCCGACAAACACGACGGATAACAACATCAGCATGGCCGAGCTGCTGTGCCCACTGCTGGAGTCCACGAGGGGTGCTGCAAAGAGGAAGGGCAGGTCGTTATACGTGGAAGTCATTAACCAGCACGACGGGGAGGGGAAGGGGTGGAGGGGCGGGGGGGATACGGGAGTTGAGCTCGCTTCACTCTTTGCAGCGTCTGCATTATTATCCCTGCTGCCTGGCACATGCTGTTTGAGCAAAGTCAACCGGTAAGAGACCAATCGATTCCCTTCCCTTTGAAAGCAAAGTCCCTATTCAAGACAGCGCAGTATCACAGCTCCTAATGAAAAGGGAGCTGGAGGCTGAGCTAAGAGGAACTAACTGCTCGCCGATTGTCCCATGTTAACTCTTCGGGCATCTCCCTTTCAGCTATCACAGGGCCAGAGAGCAGAGATTTCGGAAGGGGAGGGGGTGCAAAATGGTGCTGTGCTGTTTTTATTGTCAGCTTGTGTCGGAGAAGAAACCCAACCTGAGAGCCAGCCGTCCCCCCAGACCGAGGCTGCCCAAGCTTTGCAGCTGGTTGGAGCTCTGCCCTGTCTCCGTTTGGCATGTACTGGTGGTCCATAAGGGAGGGTATGGAGCGCCTTGTGTCTGTATTGCTCCCGCAGCTGGCATGGGAC